AGCCTGCAACCCGGGCCTGCGCCCTGGCCGGGAATCCAACTGTGACCTCCTGGCTCAGGGGTGGACGCTGAAGCCGGGCCTGGTCCGAGCTCCATCTGGGCAGCAGAGCGACGGGCACTGAGGCGCCGAACCCGACAGGCCCGTGAATCGCCCACCACTCCCTCCTCACGGGCCGATGGACCTTGGGCGGATAATTGGGCTTCGCAGGTCTCCACTGGTCTCATCCTTAAAGCAGTTCTGGAGGCATCTGTCCCCCGGAAGGATTAACGGCATTTACCTAACACGGGTGCTTGCCATGATTAAGTGAGATGATGAACCACAGCTGANCACCACTCCCTCCTCACGGGCCGATGGACCTTGGGCGGATAATTGGGCTTCGCAGGTCTCCACTGGTCTCATCCTTAAAGCAGTTCTGGAGGCATCTGTCCCCCGGAAGGATTAACGGCATTTACCTAACACGGGTGCTTGCCATGATTAAGTGAGATGATGAACCACAGCTGAAGCCAGCCCGCCCCCTGCCCCGCGGCGGGGCCTCGGAAGTTAGCTGCTCGGTGCTCCGCAGGCCTGACCCGCCCTGCACCCGGTGCCAGCCGGGGCTACAGTCCCCTCACCCAGTTCCCCCGAGGGATCAGCCCGGTTCACACCACAGAGACCCCTCCCCTTATCTCCGCAGCATCTTCCTTTCTGTCTCTGTCTCCCATTCTTAACGCTCATTTTTCCCGTGTGGTTTTCCGCTCTGTTCCCTCAAACAACTTCTTTCTCTCACTACTGTTCCCCTGAGCCACTGTGCTGGGCGCTGGGCACGCATCTCAGCAAACAGGTAAGAGAGTAGAAGCCACCCCGATACGGAGAGGTAGGTCCCCCCGTAGCCTGAGACGTGGGCACCGCGTGAGCCGGGAAAGGACAGTTCGGAGGCTGGGGACCACCGGGACCCAGGGAGAGCGGGCTGAGGACCGGCCACGTGCCCGATGCCACGTCAGCCGCTTGGAAGACGTCCTTTAATACTCACAGCAAAAGGACTTTAAAAACCTATAAAATGCATTAGTACCTAAATAAACCCTGCTTGAGGGTATCATTTGTTGGGATTTTTTTTCAACTAATCCTCTCTCTTTGGGTTTTATCTTTCTCAAAATATAACGGGGAACTATAACGTACTTAAGCCTTTATTTTATTACCGCCAGTAGACCGATGTTTTGACCAATCAGACGGCTGTGCGTTGAGAAGTCGTGTAAGGAACAGATATTTTTAATTCTACCTTTTTGTCGTTTTTGATGAAACATTTCCTTTGTTCAATAAGGACTGAGAGGGCAGAAACAACACCTCTTAAATAACCGAAGCACATTAACACTAAGTTATACGGCCCCACGTAAGGTCGGCCTGTACATAGTATTTCACTCGAGAGGAACGCAGGGTCCAAGAGAACATTTTACTCAGGTGCTCTCCCGGGTAATGTGAGGTCATATATCACATCCTATTTCATGAACTAAAAACGTCCGACACCTATTTTGCGGGTCCCTGTTTTTTAAATACTTACTATAAAAAAAAACACAAAAAGGACTGAGCGATTCCTGGGGAAATCAAGTCGGATGCTCCGAAGATAATTTATTTGCCCCACTATTTTAAAAGGTCTTAAATGAAAACAAAATGGTCCCGAGTTTACTTCCTTTGCTCTAAATAAAGCTCTGAATAAAGCCACGGGTCATCAGACACGGGTCGCAGATTGTGACGACCGTGGGGAGCCCTGCACAGGCCTCCGGGGGAGCCAAGTCTTCGCCACTGCGATGGCCAACACACTGCCCAGGGCTGTTTAATTATTAGAGCTATAAACGGTGAGTCATATTTACCTGGCCAGAGCAGTCCTGTGTCAGAGCCACTTATCTTTCCAGCCAGGTGCCACCTTTCTCACAGGGACTGAAACAAATGAGAGGAAAACTTGACTGGGTCACTCCTTGCCCAAACCTGCCATCCGAGCACCGTATAGACTTTGGGGGCCAGGGGGGTTGTTAAGGAAGCTGATTTTTTTTTTTTTTAATAAAGTGCCAACTAGCCCAGGACCTAAATAAAATCAGTGCCAAAGGCCTGCTAGGTTAGGGAACACGTTTAAATGCACCATGAAGCAATGGCTTGGCAGGAACTAACTGGCTCGGTGTTTGTTTACAAGTTTTCTGCAAACTCCCCAATAGCTGGTGCAGTCCATCCATTCGCACAAAGAGGCATTTGGGCGCCTGTTCTTAATAAACCCAAATTATAAGCCTACTTAAAGGGCCCCTCTGGCGCCCACTCGTGCACCGTGCCCACCAGCAGCCCGGCGTTACCAGAATATCAGGCCCCCACTGACATGTCACAACGTCCCGGACGAGCGTCTTCAGGAAGTTTACGGAGACGGTAACTCATTAACCGAACTCAACATCATCACGCAACGCGGTTCAGGTGACAGTGTTGAAGGCCTTTCGGGTTTTGGCAGAGATGCCTTGGAGTCATTAGTTATCTGTCAATCATTTACAAATCCTTCTGAAACCAGCAGGCAAAGACTGTTGTGTGGCCGTAAACGCGGGTCCTTGTGAGCGTAAGTCACCATAAAAGTGCTCTGATGCCTTTGGGGGGACCAAAGGGGACACCTGAAATGCTTTCAACAAGAAAGATAGATTTTTTTTAAAAAAAGAAAAAAACCAGAAGGCGGGAATGGAAGGGCCCACGTTTGCCCCAGGAGATGGCCAGGCTCGCTCGGACGCGGAAAACCCTTCCTGAGCGCGGAGGTCGAGCTGTCCTGTCTGAGTCTTTGCCCCAGCTCGGCGGGAAGGTCAACGCCTCACTGGCTGTCGCCGGCGCTGGGTTCCGAGCACCTGTTATTTGTGTCACGTGGGAACGTCACTCCGGCTCCTCTTTCACAAAAATATGTTCATTTCTCACAAGCACTGAGTATCTACGGCTGTGAGCCCAACAGATAAGCTTCAAAAGCCCAAAGTCACTCATTAATGGGCCGTTTCCTCCGCGTGCCGCTCAGCTCTGCGGGGAAACGAGGGGGAGAGGACTCCCGTTTCCAAACGGTTGGGGGGGGGGTATTAGGAACCTAGGGATGCTATCTATCGGCCCTCGACGTCGTTGGCACATTTTGTAAGATAATTCCGTCTGACTGGAAGCCTAGATTGAGGCACGAAATTTGGTCGTTCTTGTTGTTCCACGTTTTATTAGCCGTATATATGCAAAGGGAATCAAAACAAGTCACTACCTAATGTTACTGAATTATAAGACTCCTACGAGATCTTCCACAGGGTGTCAACTGGTACCTGTGACTAAGACAAAACATAGATTTTGTGTCTCGCAAAATCCCATTGCGGAAGGCGTGTCTCTAAGACCCACGTCTCACGGCCACACTGGCCTTTAATGACACCGACGCGTGTATCGAACACTGTCAGTCATGACACTGAGCACTTTCTACACAGTCTCCCATTTATTTCTCACAAAAACCACTATCGGAGCCCATGACTCCTGTCATTTTTATTACGACGAATTCAAGGCTCAAAGAGGCCACGCGTGACTTTGCCCCCGAGGAGGGGCAGAGCCGGGACGGGAGCCGAGAACTTTCTGATTTCAAATCCCACGCTCTTCACCGCCACCGACGCTCCCGCCACGATCGAGTGCGCTCGGGCCCAGACAGGTCGCCCGTAGGTCGCATTCCCCAACCAAGCCCCACCCGGCTTCTCGAGGACGCCCATCAGCGCCGAGGCGACGCGATGGACAAGGCTAGTCCACGGCTTGGCTGAGATGTGAAACCTTGACGAACGTGTACCCAACCCCTCGGCAGGCGCGGAAGAAAGACCCACATGCGCCAAAGCAAACGCAGGTATAAAAATGTGCTGGCAAAAATACATGTCCCTCCCGAGTTTCCATCTAGAATTAGAGAAGAAATCATTGGTTTCGATTTTTTAAAATCATATTTTGAAATCCACTATATGTTTAAAAGAAAAAAAATAATAATCTAAGTAAACAGTACCTACTGCGGTGTTAACGCGAAGTAGGTTGGGCCGGTGACGTGCCCACGAGAACTGAAGAGTTCAAAGGGAAACCAGCGTGTCCATCCCAGGCCCGCCACCCACAGCCAGGGTCACCCCAGCACCGGCGTTAAACCCCCTCCCTTCACGGTTTATCCAGAAACCAGCCTTCTACCCGACGGACGATGTGTCCCCGAGGTGACGGAGGAACGTTTTTAAGTAATCTTGACATTTGTGTCACTGTAAGAGCAGCCAAATCGTGGCTCCCGTGGTGAGCGTCCAGCTCACCTCCGAGCAGGAGCCCCATGGACTTCATCAAAGAATAACTTTCCGGTTACGGAAAACGTGTCACACATTTCCCGTTTTGCGGGCACGAACCTCGAAGTGTAAGTTTTCCTCTGTGGGGTGCAAAGGCAATAGGCGGCCCTTTCGATCAAGTGAGCGGCAGACCAGCCAGGCCGGGTGAAAGCCTCGGCTCGTGAATAGATGGGACAGAAACACCGCCGGACAAGACACGGAGTAAAACAGGGCCATGGGCTGGGCACTGCCACCCGCAGTGTCTCAGCGTGTCCGTCACATCTCTGGGCATCGCTTAGGGCACTAATACCTGCCCATGTTATCGCCTAAACTACATTTGCAGAGGTCGGAAGAGCTCCGTCTGCCCCTCTCTGCGCAAAGAGGTGGTGACATCGGGAGAGTATGTCGCAGCCCGGTGGAGTCGGTGGATTTAAGCCGTTTGGAGTCTTACCCACAGCGATCTCCTGACCCCTCCGTCTCGGAGCCTCCCACCCTGAGCCGCATGGCACCTCTCCACTTCGGAGTTAATCATTTCTTTGCTGTTATCTGCCAAGAGTTCTTATCTCCTTTGCTGTCACTTTATAACAGGGTCCTCTTATCACCCTGCGCGGAGCCAGGTGACCACGGGGAGCCTATGAAAAGTGTCCCTTGTTCTGATTAGGCGCCACCACGAAACTGGATCCATGGTTTACAGCAGGTCACTAATGTTGGAAAAGGTACAGAGTCCAGGGAAAGACTTGCCTGTAACTTTCTGAATTCTTGGATTTTTTTTTGGGGGGGGATTTTTTTTTTTTTTTTTTTGCCTTTTCATAACTTTCACTGCGGGTCACTGTGGCCCGATGCGTCCTTCCCCAAGGCCACAACGTTTGACGGGCCGCACTCTCATCTCACGCTCAATGATTTCTGCTTTGAGCCAAAGGACCGCCTATAATTCCATCAAGAATGTCTTCTAATTCGGATCCTGGGGATTTACAAGGCTCTCTGAAGCATGGACTCCCACCTGTCGGTAAGTGTAAGTGGGAGCTGCTCTATGTATCATCTGTTTATTTTTCCGCTCTTATGTGAATACACGTCATTTCATCTCAGTGATGTGTTTCGTATCGTAAGCCACTGCTTTTCCTACTGTATTGATTAGAAGCACATGCGTCTCACACATTCGCCTTCCTTGACGTTCAAAACAGCAAATGGATATTTCAAAGTTTATTTGTCATACCCGTGGGTTTGGGACACCATCCTATGAGCCTAAAGCAGCCTGGAAATGTGTCCATTTCGTCTCTAATATTTTCCGATAATTTTTCATCAGAAATAACAAGCTGAAATTTGAACAGCTTGAAACAAATTAACCATATGGAGAGACGGTTCATTGGGCAAACTTTACAGAAGAGTTTTCAAGTATTTGGGGGGGTTTCAAGCCACACCACAGTACGGCCTCTCATTCATTGCAGTAATGATAAAAGATATTTTGTTTTTCTGGCAAATAAAAGTCATGCAAAAAAAATCATACCATCATTAGTTAAGGGTTAGACGTTAAGGGTTGCTGTCTTTTTTTTTTTTTCCAAAGTAATGACCATGTCTTGTTTTTATAAATATAAGTGCATAAAACTAATATTCATCTTTTAAAAAAGGAGTCACAAACTTGCTCGTGTCACATCAAGAATACACTCTATTAATCCTGAAAGGAAAGGACCAGAGGGAACTGAGGCCCAGAGGTCAGTGATGGCTGATCTTCTGGGAATCTGTCCCTCCTCTTTTCCCCCAGTTCTTGAGGGCCAGGCCTTTCCTGCAGCAGTTTCCTGGGCTTTCTCGGGGTCCCCCTGCGAGTGGCAGGGCCTGTCCTGAGCTCGGAGCTCCAGCTCCTGTGGGACCAGGAGGAAAACCAAGGCTGGGCTCTTCCTCTTGCTCAGTGATAACCAGCTGACCCCACTGGGTGCAGTGATTGCTTTTTTATGGGCTCACTACACCCTAAGGTATTATCAATTGAGGAAATGGTTACCAAAAAAAAAAAAGACCAAAAAAAAAACGTCCTGTACTCACGAAAAAGAGCACCCGGGAAAGGCACGCAGGGTTCACCGGGGATCGATTGCTCTGCAGATAAAAGATAAGGGCGCGGGGACGCGGCTGACAAGGGAGCACAAAACGATTCCAAATCGCTTTCGCTGGCGACAAGTC